CATCAACCTTGAAAGCGCGGTTGGAACCTTGGAAGGAGATCTTAGCCGGGATTCTGGGAGCCTTTCCGCGAGCACATATCTCGTCTTTGATCACCCAGTCCCACGCAAACAGATGTCTTGACAATTCTCTTGGCTGTGCTCAAAGCTAAGCTCTGCGGCCTTTCTCTTCAATTTGCAGGCTGCCGGGGCCTGTACAGGCAATCTCAATTTTTGCGCCCTAATTCCATGGGTCCGAATTCCATGGGTCCGAATTCCAGTCCACTACCCAGTTGCGGATTCGCAGGTTCCGCACGTCAAGCAGGCCAAGCAGCCGAACAGCCATACGCGTAAGAAACTTGTGGGACATCAAATGGATTTCCCCGGTAGCTTATAAAACAACCAGGTCAACCACGAATCGCCATTTTTTGTTGTTGTTTTTGTGAAACCAAAACAACCAAACAGTGAAACACCTTGCGGGAACCGGTCCCTATGCCCGAAAGCTCCCTCTTGAACATCACCCCACAGGAAATTCCTCTGAGGGAACTAAAGCTTGACCATCCAGGCGCCAAAAGCATATACGGACCCCCCCAACTGAATAGTGCAAGGATGAGAATAGCAACCCCGGCCTTTTCTTGGCCTGGGTTACAAATGCGCCAAGAAACATATGGGTACCCACAAAAATGCAGACCCATGCGTTCTGATTCTGATTCACAGTTTGCCGACCTAAAAGCAAAAGCGTCCTTTTTGTTTCCGGAGGAGACCGCAGAGTTGCGCAAAACGTTGGCGAATGAAAAAAAAAAACCTGCGGAGCTGCCCAAACAACGTTTACAGACCAACTTGCGCGCATTGATCTCCCAACTCGCCACCAAACCAATGGGTCCAGTATGCTGTGTCAAAATAAAGGGACCCCAAAAATGGTGGTCTGCTTTGGGCTTCCCGCTTGAGCCAAGCTTCATGGGGTATAAACTAAACACACCTCCACGTTGCACTGACAGCAGGCGATAGCAAGCCTAAGGGTGATATGCACTGCGGGGGAACACCTATCGCACCTGCAAGGAAAGGAGGAGCCGTCCCTTTGCTCTTCGTCTTGTGGTTGGAGGTTGGTGGAGGTTGGTGGAGTTTGGTGCCTGGGGTAGGGCTGGCAGGTTGGTGGCACGCAGGGACTTTTTGCCGCAATGGGTGACCTGGTGGCATGGTTGTTGCTTATGCTTTTTGGAGAAGCTTTGACGCACCTGCTAAGTGGATTGCCCAAAAGAGTCGAGGATATTCTTAGGTAAACGATGTCCACCAAAGCACCCCCGAATAGAATATCACGTTCATTTAGGATGTCATAATTAATTCGGTTTTGTCTCAAAATAACAGGCGACCTCCAAACTCATTGGTTTCTGTTGATTTCCCCTTCAATCAACCCCAAAAAGGGGCGTCTTAAAGACACACATAAACACACACGTATCCTACTTCAGGTGTCAAGAGTGATGCATTGGATGGTTTGCGAATTTCTTTCTGCAGCTGGTACTTCGGTCAAACGTAGTGTCAACACAGGTTCCTAGACCCTCAAACTTGCCATGACAACACGTTGTTGCCAACCAAACTAATCGTTGGTGTACTACCAAGTAAAGAATCAGTTATTGCCCCACAATATATAATGGTTGGTGAGTTCGTCGTTGGAAGGTCCAGGTTCATTCAAACAGGGATCCTTATATTTTACACCTGAACATTGCAACTTGTAAATGGTGGCTTTTCCTTCTATTTAGGTGTTGAAAAAGCAACGTGTTTCAAATGGGTAAAACGGAGATCTTTCAAGGAGCCCTGTCCATTGTCCGGTCTTTCGAAAATCGCTCGCTCAGATGCTGCCGAACTCCTTCATCCAGTCGGAGAAGCGCTGCAGGTCGTCGTTGCCTGTGGGTGGCTTTTCTCCGGTTTTGGGTTGGTTTTCCTGTCGGTTTCCTTTTAAAACCACTAAAAAAGGGTACCCTCAAAAGAGACCAACCCACAAACCCTGGTTGATTTTGAGAGATGGGGGTGTCCAATTCCTCGTAGTGGTTGGGTTCAGACCACTTTGGGGGAAAAAACAACTATGAATTCGCAGGGCTTCTGCTGAGAATCCGGGGTCAACATTACGGAGGAAACCCAAAGAGCCACCATCAAAACCCAAGGATGGACGACATCCACGCCAGGCACCAGTTGAACTGGGATAAATCACAGACCCCGCCGGTGCACGATTTTGTCCCTCGACCAGATTTGGTCCATCCATGGTATTGAAGGAGTCGACCCAATAGCGGAAAGGATTCCATAATGATGCAGAGCCATAGCAAGTTGCTCGCCGCTATGAATGGCTGAGAGAACCTGAAAATGCAAAACCGCATACAAAAAAGAACCTAAAGAACATGTTCTGAATGAACATGCTTCAATAGGTATGGAAGGGCTCTGAAAACCATTTTGAGAGGTGGGGATGCGGGTCCGAATGTCTGTTCTTAAAGGCTAAGATTGGATTGCCCTGCCTATACAAGTGCATCCCAGTCAGATACTACGGTAGGCAACCGCCGATTTGCGCTTTCTTAGGGAGCATTGTGCCAGTTGAATGCGCTCATAAATCCAAAAATCATGGTGAGCTCATCTCCCCTCCAGGTGTGTTCGCCGGAACGCAGGCAGAATGCTGTCTGTGCTGTTTGGTCCAACTATTGAACCGCGTCATCTCTGGGTGTGATTGTTGTTTGCCTACTGTGGGGCAAACATGTTACATACATTACTGTGCTCTCATGATCATGACTAAATATGCATTTTAAGTTCCCCACAACCCTATTCTAATTCTGGGCCTGACATGACTATCCAAATTGTTCAGGGCAAACGCTTGTTTCTGTAGCTTGAGACTACGACTCATTGTGATCTATTCAGGCTTCCACGATCCTGGCTGGAGTTTGACGTTGCAAACAGGTCGAAGACGCCTATATGCTTACAGTCGTGGCAACCACGCCTTCTTTAGGACTCCGTGAGATGTGTCGAAGATATGGTCGGCTGACGCTGATTATGGTCAGTCCGCTGAAGATATGCGAATGTAAGATCCGCAGAAAATCCTAATTCCTAAATGCCTGAAAACCTGCAAGGCACACATTGCGCAAGCCTACGCTTCAGCCGCCCAAATTGGCACAGGTTTCTGGTGGAATGGGGACAACATATTTGGGTTTCCATGTGGCTTCCACCTAAGCCCCAACAAAGGGCGCCCAACCCTCGGGGAAAAACAATGACTTCCTTGTAGGGAAACCAACCGAGGGATTTTTCGGGAATTGCCCTCGGGGCAAAAAACAATGACTTCATTGTGTACCCTGGGTAGGGACACCACCCAGAAAATCCCCATGAATTCACCACCACAAAAACTGGTTTTGCCTCACACCACCCAGAAAATCCCCATGAACTCACCTCCAAAACCGGCTTGCCCCGCACCCATCCGAGTGACAAGTGACGCATCTCACGCGTCTTGGGGCGCCGGGCCCACGGAGCGGTTCACGTTGCTGATGGCCTCCAGAAAGTCCGCCTGGGTCACCGGCACGTCCACCTGACGCGTCGATTTGGTCGACGTTTTGTTTTTGTTTTTTCGTCCATGCCGCGGGAAGTGGTGGGACGTTGGTGGGAGATCTCGGGGCGGTTTTGCCGGTGTCCGGCTTTTGCCAGTTGTTGCCGGCTTTAGCCGGATTTTTGCCCACTTCTGGTTGGAGAAGCGGGGGGTGGGGGGGCAACAAAGGCAGCACTGACCCTCTACAAGAGCCAGATGTTCAAACCACAGCAACTAGGGATACCTGACACGAGGAGAACCTGCAAAACACGCATGGATCGTACCCTTTACAGAAACAGAACTTCACCACGGAGGTTCGGGGCACCAGGGTCCAGGTTGGTTTCAAGGTGAGGTGAACCGGGGGAGGGGGGGGGGGGGCAAACTGCTAAGCCTGCTTAAAACACCCCCTGAAAAGGTTATCCCCAGTGGTGTATGTGTGTAGGTGGGTTTATTTGGAATTGGTAAGCTTGTTATATGCTTATACGTCGGTTTCCTTTTAAAGGGAAACCAAAAGGACACCAAAAAGAACCCACAAGGACAAACCAAAAGCAAACCACAGGTATGTGGGGTCTTGTTTGAAACCATTGTATGTGAGCGCTCCTTAAAAGGTGTGGAGTCTTCCTTTTAAACGCAACCATGGCATTCGTGTCTTGCCTGGAGTTGCTGTGTTTTTATGTTTCCAAGTGGTGTCCCTTCAAAACTATGGGAAAGGGGCTCCTGACTTGACATAGATCCACTTTGAACAAAGCAGTGCTGGACCTCCATTTGCTTACGGCCCCAGGGGAAAAACATATTGCCAGTATAGTGAAAAAATCCCTTTAAAACCAACAGGGGAACATAAACATATTCAGAAGCAAATGGAAGTCTACTCTCTGGTTTCAGTTTGGTTGAGCATCGATGAACACAATGCGTTGTCAGTTTGGTGTTTTTGCATCTACCGCTGCTATCGATGTCAACCCAAATCTTACCCGGCTCATACCCAACAAGGGTTGACGTGGGTTTGTCGCAAAGGGCACTCCGCATAGGTGTCCTTTTGGGAAAATAGATGGCGCTTAACCAGGTACACCAGGACTCGCCCTCTAATGTTCAACGAAACCAACCCCGGCAACCCCGGCAACCCCAGCAACTCCAGCAACCAAAGCAACCCCAGCAACCAAAGCAACCCCAGCAACCCCAGCAACCCCAGCAACTCCACCAACCCCGTGTCCCGTTTCTCTGGGTCGACATAAATCGACCCTAAGGCCTCCTGCTTGAGGTTGTGCATCTCCACCAAGCTCTTGCCCTCCTGTCGCGCCTTGGCCATGCGCCGCCGCAAGCCTCGGCTTGACCGATCCCACGGGGGGTGGTTCCTTTGGTTCGAGGACCCCGTCTTCAATAAAATTGGGATGGCGTTTGTTGTTTTAGGGACCTTGACCCTCCACTAAAATTTGGGCCACCTCGCGTTTTGGGGGTTTTGAACACGACGTTCCCCTGAAACGTTCAACGCGGCAACGTGGGGATCCATCTGGTGAAAGGCAAATCTGCCACTTCGAGAGGCACGTAGAGCCCTGCGGAAATCGATCTTTCGAGTACCCAATCCGGGAAGTGGAAAAGGGGCCTTTGCTTCCATGTGGGACAGCGGGGACCTGGGGATCGTGGTGAGCTGAAGCAGTGAGCTGGCCACTAAATCAGCAAATCGATCTGGTCCTCCCACTTTTTTCCAGAATGGTTTGCGATAAATAAGCATGGGTGATTTTTAGCCCATTAATTCACTATCGTACTAACCTGGGTCAAACCTTAATTACGGGATTGTTCTAAGAAAAGAACCTTCATAGGCGAAATTGATTGCATACCGAATTCCGTATGGTCGCGAATTGATCTGCAAGGGGAATCAAACTGAGCTGGTCTTCGACCTCCTTCAAGAGCTCAACTTGGAATGGTACGGAATCAGTGTTTTTAACAATCTTAAACATCAACTTGCAATGTTCGGTGAGCCAACGAAAGTAAAACCATCCTGCACATGAAAACACTGTGATCACAAAGGTTTCAAGGTTGAAACTAGCAGCCAAGAACATATCCAGGAATCAACTGGTCCACTGTCCACTTGGGTGCCTCCAAAACGATGGTTTTCCTTTGGTTTCCCTTTAAATCCACCCCAAAAAGGGTGCCCTCAAATAAAGACACCCCCCATTTGGGCTTCGACTTCAACACATTCTATTTGGGACCCTCGTGCTTCTTGATTGAGTTCGGCTTGATCCCCTCAACCAAAACTGCTGATAGTACCAGCACCCCCCCACCACTGCTTTTTGGATAGTACTTGTGAGTTTCAATATGAGAAAAAACTGTTGTTGGGTGCTGGCAGGGTCTCATGGTTCAAATGGTTACACTGCAGCAAATGGAATCCCAACGCACTCATTGGTTCAGAGCAGTGTCTTTTCTAGGCGACCCACCAAAACTGTCCTCTAAAACCACAAAAAGGTGGTGCGCTCGAAAACGCCCATATCCTTGCTTACCCTTCCACCAGACCAGCCTTTACGTCGCTCTTTGGGAACTGGACTGAACCCCGGATTCTCTTGTGGGCAAATAGGAAACCCCCGAAAGACCACCCAAACCACCATTTGTTCGTTCTACGGGGACCCCCAAACCGAGTTTCCCTTTAGGCTTCCCTTTGAAAACCACCAACAAAGCTCCCTCAAAAAACATGCGCGCGCGCACACACTTAAACTCCAAATGGAGAGTGCTAATCTTTCGAGTACAACTGATGAGTCTCGAGTACAACCGATGAGTCTCGAGTGGGTGTAGGTTCGGCTTGCAGTCACTTGGTTTCCGTCTAGCAGCGAAACCGTTACAAATTCAACATGAAGCACACACAGCGAGAGAAACAACGGGCCAAAAGGACTTTACATCACCAACTCCAAATGTCGCAGGTACGTCGAGGTGATCAGCCTCGATATCCGCATTTGCTGTGGCCGCTTCGTTGGACCATCGCACACAGCAAACGGATGGTCCCCCTGAAGACGAAGAAAAGATTGGTGGCAGGGTTTTCTGCCACTCCGCACACACACGCCCCTCTACGAGGGGCGAGAACCACTTTTTCGGGGGGAGAAAAACCACGCGCCCCAAAAACCGGGCGAAGACCCCAACAGAAAACAAACGGAGCAAGGGAGCCCAAAAGAAACAGAAAGGCCCCAGGTTGGGTCTCCGCGGGCAAAACCCCAAACAAGAAACAAGAACAACGGGGAAGCCAGGTTTCGGGTCTCCGAGGGCAACAACCCCAACCAGCACAAAAACGACCTAGACCTTGTAGACGAAAGGGGCCGCGAAGGCAAAGAGGCAGAAGAGGAGCAGGCCATCCCTAACCGGGCGAACAGGAAGTACAAGAAATAGCCCAGAGAGGGAAAGAAAAAGAAAGGGAAGAAAGAAAGGGACGAAAGAGAGAAAGAAAGAGAGAGAGAGAGACAGACACAGAAAAAGAGAGAGAAAGAGAGAGAGAGACAGAAGCGTATTTAGGGCGTCGCAACCGCCCGGGGGAAAAAGAAAGGATCAGGGTGCGTATTTAGGGCGCCGCATCCCGCCCGGGAAGAAGGAACAAGAAGCAAAAGGCAAGGAGACAAAAAGGAGAAAAGAAAGAAGAAGGAAGAAAGAAGAGGAAGAGGGAAGGAGTAGTATGCGTTTTTAGGGCGACGCATCCCGCCCAGATAGGAACAGAGGATGAAGACCAAGGCTCGCGGAGAAAGACGTCGAATCCCGCACAGGGGCCAAGAGGACGGACCCGAAGTAGCAACGGAAGGGGAAGAAGACGTCAAGCCAAACTACGTGAGGAAGAAGAGGAGTAGGAACAGGAAGACAGACGCGAAGACGAAGACGAGGAAAAAGGTGAACAACGCGAGGACAACCAGGCCATCCCTAAGCGGGCGAACAGGAGCGGGACGAACGCGCGGGTCACGAAAGGCAGCAAAAAGAGAACGGGAGGAAGGAGAAGCCATCCCTAA